TCTATTGCCATACATTAGCTGTGAAATAATCCTGACTCCGCGATACTGTAAAGACCAAATAATGGTAATTTTATTCTCAGTTTTTTTTTTCTTTTTCAAACAGGAAAGTTTTGCTTACTATGCACAACTTTCCTATCATCACAAGTTTTTATGTTGTATATGATGACTGATAGAGAACTCCATTTGTGAACATGCGACATGCGTGGGCCGCAAATTAAAGTAGAACGGTGTCCACAAACCAACTCCATGTGTTAACTGCTACAAGGTTTTTACATCAACTAGATAATTTCGAAGCAAGGATGCCTTGTTTATAATAAAAGAAAATATTTTAAGATCTTGTTTGTTGATATGTTGTTCAACAACTCTATTACACTAATACACGTTTTACCGGTTCAACAATAGTGTTATTGTAAAATATTGTATTTACACAAATGGTATTATAAAATTACAAACAAAACAAATGTGATTCTATGGTCTAGTCTAACATGACTGCTTCTTATGAGTTTTTTAATTTTGATTCCTTTTTTCTAATCTAAAGTTTGACTTGGGATTCTCTGTAGTAGCACTGAGACGAAAACTGGAAATTAAGCTATCGGCGCTCTACTACAGGGGTCTAATAAATGACTAGTCTATGATCTCCGCCAATTTCAGAAGACATACGATACTTATTATACTCTTTGGAAATACGTCTTCTCAAGTCAATAGGCGAGTTATTGTAGTTAGTAGAATTAATAACTAAAGATCCATTGGAGATAACAGCGTATATGTATTATTTACTGCCTCGTTGGCCGAGTGGTCGCAAGTGCGACTACCGGGCAAGGGGTCTCGGGTTCGATTCCCGGGTCGGGCAAAGTATTACTGGGTTTATAAAAAATTCTCAGTAGTAGCACGGAGTCTGGAATTGTGCCCGGTATATGGCAATAGGCTCACCCCCTATTACATGGGACTCATAACATAGTGAAAATTGTGTGTTACATTGTACAGTGGCATAATGTGCACCTCTGCCTACCCCTACGGGGATAAAAGGCGTGATGTTATGTGTTTAATGTATTATTTATACATTCATTGAGTAGTTTGTCTTTTCATCACGATCAGACAGTCTGAATATTTATAATACTAGTTCAGTAAATGTCGCAAAGACAAACAAATTCATACCTAATCTTAAATTGTATTTAAGTTAAAACGATAAGCTTTTAAGGAAAGGAAAAACAATCTTCTATATGACAATGTCCGAGACTTTATGTATTCGTTGTATCTACTTCTAATGAATCTAATCAAAGATTGCATTAAGAAACAGTAATTAATCACTTGAGTTTTAATAGCTAACTGAATTTCATCTTGAATGATCGACTACAAGTACATGCAAGAAGTAACATTTTTGTACATTTTGAAGTAATACGTAAATATTATCAATACCTTAAAACCTATACCTATCTTTGTTTATACGAGAAGAAAATGTGTACAGTCAATGTCGACAGACTTTACCGCTAATGAAACTATTCTGCAGGATTTGACTTCAACTTCGACCTTTAGTTCGACCTTAAATACTTTCGAAATTTAAGTTAAAATTAAAGTTTGTGAAACAGTAGTAGTATTTTAGTCAAGCAGCGAATGTTTATCCCTCTCGTTTCTGTCCCAAAATCGAAACGAAAGAGAGTTACTAAATACTCGCTACTTAACTAAAATACTAGCATAGTGCGAACAAGGCATTAGAGAATTTTCGTCATATAGAAAAGTGGTCAGGCCACGTTGATTAGGTTGAGTCGACGGTTTCAAGCCTACGAAATAAATAGCGGGAAAACGCTGCTACACGCTACGAGCTACGGGTTACGAACTACGCGCTACGACTTTAGTATTAGGTCTTATAGATTTAGGGTTGGTTGGTTATTAGATGTAAGATTAGAAATTTAACTTTATGTGAGATCTTGGCTAACTTTTTGACAGCTATACGGTTACATGAAAATGTTTTTTGTGGTATTTTATTTACCCCGTCTACGAGTCTACGACATAAGCAAGATAAATCGAATAATAAAAATGTTCGCTTCATAAACAAGTAAAATAAGCAACAAGTTATAAACTATAACCAACTTTACTAATAAAAAAGGCACCATACCTGTGACCATACATAATTAATATTTTTGCTACGGAAGAATGTGTATCCCGCATCTCGTACCCACATGAGAGACGGCTGACGGCACATCTCATTGGTTTAGACTGTAAGAATTTGGCAGTCACTTTCATCTTTCCCAGGTGAGGCGTGCGTGAGGCAGGAGGAAAAATATTTAGTTTTGATTCCCGATTAAATTAGTTAATTTGCAGCTTGTGGTATGCAGTATCCTTTCCGTCCACAAATAAATGCACACGCACACGTGTTTCGCTCATCCACACACAGAAAAGGTGTTGACTCATCTTTCATCATCACTCATTGGTTCATCATCCAAATTACCAACCCTTTTACAACAGCATGTCAAGGCGTTTAAGTAATTAACATAGTGCATTTTGTGTTAAATTCTAGGCCCCTTAATGTTTGGGAACATTAGAGCCTGATAAGCAGTACAGGTACGATAGAACTTTCATTCCGGTCCACCCACAATGCGGTACAAAACCAAAAGCATGACGCAGGATGACGTAATATCCTGCCTATGTGTGAGTAGGTATCTGTTGACCTCAGAGAAGTGTTTGCTTAAATTGTGATAGTGTGAAGATAGACAGACATTAAGTCAATAAATTTACGTCCTAATTAGACGTAAGAGATTAATTTTCAGCGTCAAAATTACGTATAAAACTTCCGTGAGTCCGATCCGGTCTGCTGAAGTCAGGCTCAGATATTGGATATTTATAATTATTTGTATTTGTGTATTGCACACAAAGACACGTAGCATTGTATATTTTTTGTTACTGAACAAAAATCGGCTAGCTACCTACAAGCTGGCTGTGAGTGTGAATGTACCAAATGATGGCCATTCATTCCGTAAGTAGTTGGTTAGTATATTCGTATATAGCGAGCGTTTCAAAGCGTTGGTTGATGCGAAACGTTGGTTGGTTGATCCAGTGGTCTCTGTCTGATCCGCGTCACACCACTGTGACATGAGTGCGCGCGGTTCTTTTTTCGCAAACTACATCTAAGTGGACGTACAATTTATGTCTGAGTACACAGTACACAACAGTTGGGACGGAATGCCGTGGCGTGAAACTGAAGAAACATTTTACGATGCACTATCATACAAAGTGAAACATTCGAAACGAGTTTTCTTCTTAGTGTAAGTTAAAATTTAAAATAGCGTAAATAATATTTTTAAAGCAATAAAAAAATGATAACTTAAGTTCCTCGTGGTAAAACCTGAATACTTTTTAATAAGCGACCACTTAAACCATTACAAATCCCATGTGTGAATAAAAAATTTAATTTATTTGATGTAGATAATTAGAAAATATATTTTTTTATATTCTTATAAGGATGACGTAATAAACCACACCTAAATTGTTATTTTTATAGCCATATAAATTTTTATTAGTATTGTTTACATAAATAGTTCAAATAAGCATCTGGAAATGAATGATGTCAAGCATAATAATTTGGACATAAACAATCACAGAGTTGAGTATTTGTATCACAATACCGGGCGTGTGTAGTTAGGATCGCGTGTTGCACGACTAACACAAACACGACCAGAGTATCTTCGTTGTCAAGGTTAAAACTTAACACCGACGCGATTATTAAACCTATACAATTGGAACTTATTGTTGTAAAGACTTGGCGATAAATTAAACCATTGTCTTGTAAGTGGCTAATCTGTATCGCAGAGCTTGTCTTGTTGCAGAAATCTGCCTGTGTTCTATTGTACCCTCAAAGCATGAGCAAGTTAAAATGATTTAGGTACTTTCTTTTCCATTGAATTTTTTATTCATAAACATAATATTTTTGTATTTTAACTTTGGTGAGACAAATTATTATTAAATTAAGCCGCAACTATTTCTTGTCTGTTGAAAGTTGTGGCCATAATGTGTTTTATACCGGGAGCCGGTGTTTCAACAGATAAGAGGATAACGGCTTACGTTATTATTTGACGAGATAACTCGTCTAGTTTCAAACCACTATTGGGGGCCATATGAGTGTGGCTCGAAACTGGTTGAGTTACTCGTCAATAATGATTACATGAGTAAGCCGTTAAAGATAGTTATTATAATTAACAATACTTACCTAAATGGTTTTATACGTTTACATAATGTGTGATATCTCCTATTTCTGTTTAGAAATAAAAATAACATCAAAAATGTTGCAATAGATTCTACTTTGAATTAGAATACAAATTCGAATAACTGTTTTTCTATCTGCTTTCAGTTTGCATTAATGCTTATGGAATATGTTAACTGTTAGCAAAACTTGTATGACATTACAAATATCACCTTATACAAATTCAAGGATGTGTTTCAAACTTAATAGTATCAAACATTTCCATCCCGGAAGGCATAAAATGCGTAATCAATTCAGGATTCACTAAAATATTTGCATTTAATATCAAAGATTGGTACGAATATGTGATAATCCTTATGTTTAAACCATTTCTCTATTTTATTGCTTAATCCCCAATCAGAATCTCAATGAAAATGACGTCATCCACGCTCAAATGTGAGGCTATAAAAGATCTATACGCATACTAATAAATGAACGAATGTAATAAAATCAGCATGCGTGAAGTAGCTTTAGTCACAATAGTTTAGTATTCTTGATAAGTACATTGATTTGATTATTATCTATTCCTTCTATACATTATAATATACCTATGCAGTTTTTGTTTGGACGTAACTAAATACGGTAGCAGTATTTTTTATCTTTGCATGATTATTGTGTCTCCATGTTGTTTTTTTGATGTCGTATTGAAATGTAGATTAACTATATAGGTAGTTACATGTCTGCGTTTCAAAATAGATTGCCTTCTGGGAAATTGATAAAACTTGAGGTTATGTAAGCACAAACTGAAACGGTCTTGTTTTTTCAGATGGCGTGGAAGTATATACAAATTAGTATGGCTAGACCTTCTAGTGTTCCTGCTTTTATACTATGTACTAAATTTGACTTATCGGCTGTTACTGGATGAAAATGCTAAAAGGTAAGAAACAGAAGATATTTTTTTTACTTTTAATCTTCAAAATGAATGAACTTATATAAAGAAACCTAATAAATATGAAATAGAAGTGGTTCTGTTGTCACATGATAATTAATTGCAATCGATGCATCGATTGATTCTAATTCTCGTAATCAGTGCAATCGTAGATACATTTGCTTCATGCATATCATCAATATTCTTATGTAGATTGCGGGAGTATTTCTAGTAGGTACTCAAGCTTGATAACTGCAAGCTACATAAAAAGTGAATACTTTTTGCACTAAAAACTCTTCATTAACATTGTTCCAGAATATAAATTATACAGATATAAAGCTGAACTGTAAAATATATCACTTAATGCATTTAATTTAAATTAATAATTTTTTTATGCATTTATCCATATAAACCACAACAGTACTTACTCGTAGCAGATTGCTACGAGAAAAAAATACTTGACGTAGCAGCAATATAACTGTAAATGACAAATGAAATGGGACCTATGCAAGTGCAATTTAAAATTAGATAAATGTCATCTAACACGTAATACAGGTATTTAATCTTATTTAAGAAAATTATTATCATAAATAAAATACAAGACAAAAAGTCCATTTAATGTTATTTAAGAAAATTAATAATTATTATGTTAAATAAAATACAAGACAAAAGAATATACTAGGTCTTGACGTAGCAGTTACTGAAACCAAAATTAATTGCATTTCACGCTTTCTTTCGTGATAGGAAACAATACACGTTATAACGATTTCCTAAAACGTACTGTCACTTTCTATTTTTATCGAAATTGGAAGGAAAGCATTAAATTCCCAATATTTTTTTATTGAAGAGAGTTACCGTGATTTTGTGCCCAACCTAGGTGATAAAACACTACCTATTTTGGAGTTGTGTAGCGTGCCTGCGACATATAACCCAAAATCCCATATTTATTCTCTATCATAATATATTATTTTGTACAAGCCCATCCCTTTCATATATTAACATAATTATATTAACATATTATAATAAAAAAATAAACTTGAATAACATAATTATTAATAAATATGTACAACTTACAATTAACTACAACTAATAAACAGTGAATAAAAAAAGATCAGTTAGGCGACGAAGAATACGTCCTCATCACTGTCACTGGGAACGTGCCCAGAACACTGGCAGCATTGTCAAGTTGAATGAAAATATTAATTTTCTGTAGTATTTCTTGATTTTTAATGGATGTCATTTATTTATTATCTGTTAATACATGAAAAATTCAATTATTACAAATAAAATATCCTTAATAATCAAGGAAAACATTTAAGATTTAAGGCGAAAACACTGAAAAATTGTGAATCGAAAGTTTCAATGTCAATCATGTTTGCTATAAACAGTTGAAATACTTGACAATTACGTGTAGTAAGGTCATTAGGTACAATATGGTTGTATCGTGAATCAAGTGTAATTTACGTTGCCACCGATTGCTTCTTTATGAACTATGCGCACGCTGCCATTGTTATTACTTATGCCATTAATTTCTACTCACATTTGTATTGTTGAAGTAAAATTACAATGAAGTTAATACCTGTATAATAACTGTTACAACAAGCAATAAAATGTAACTTGATTTTCAAATTTTCTCGCAGGATGTTCGAAGGTGTGGTGAACTATTGCAGTTTTCACGGGAATGTGATCCCTCTGTCGTTCGTACTAGGGTTCTATGTTACCGTGGTTATGAATCGATGGTGGAGCCAGTACACCACTATACCTTGGCCCGACTCTATTGCTGTCTTCGTCTCCGCGACTATACATGGACAGGTATGTACAACACTGAGTTTAGACCCGGAGGCAATAGCACAATGTTAATTATATCTGTTATAACTCATCGTAGCCGCAATGTCAGTATTATTTAGTCTATAAGCGAGGTAGTCTATGTACATGTTTTACTTTTGTTACATCCTACGCTATGTAAATAGATATGTAAATTACAGTTCTGTGAATACTAAGTTATCTATGTGTTACGTATGTTCTTCCGGCTATAGCACGGGTTGACTCAGGCTTTAATAATTTAGTTTTAAATAAGTACCTATTTCATTGATAAGTAAAGATTATGCTGCCCAAAAATACCTTTAGCCTTCTAAATCTGATATGGTCAGTTGTTAAATGTACCTAAATAGGGTATATAGGTCAGCGTAGGCGTAGCACTGTGGGTACGTGTAGGTACTAGGTACATAAATGTTAGAATTAGACGAAAATGATAAATATGATTTAAAATTCCATTTCCATGATTCATATTTTTAACAGTAAATTGTAGTTGCTGATCATTATGAAAATCAATCACAATTCACGCTGTTGTAAAATTAGGGTTGTTTCAAATATGTCGTGCGCGCCTTGGCAACCATTTACAAGCGGTTTTCAGACTAATGGAAATTCCATTCATATTATGCGGGCCACGATTTTCATGGTCCTCGGGTACAACGACTTTTTGACCTTTGCAGTCGTAGTACACGTAAACAACTTGACGCATTTTGATGTTATCAGGTGGATTATACTAAAATGTGACTGAAAGCCGATCTGAAAACAACGTTACTGCGATAGTACATTTAAAATATAGGTTTCGTGTCTAATAGCGGTCAGTGGCATTGCAAAACATATTATTACGCTACATATTTACTTTGCTCCTTGATGTAGTATTCACAACATCAGGCCGTATAATTTATTACCCTTCACATTATTCCTTCATTCAGTGGAAGTACACAAGACGACGTACATTGCAATCTTAAGGAGGTAATCTTATCTCGTCACTTATTACGTAAATCATTTATCTATGTAGGTATTAGCTTTACGTACACTAGGTAACTGCTTTCCTCGCCGGTACGAGTATATCAAATAATTCAGTTTAATCCTATAAAATAAAATAACAGAAGACAGAAGCTGAACTAGGTTTAGCTAGAAACTTAGCTATGATAAAGGTGAATGAGTCGCTTGTAATTTGTACATAGTCAAAGTCAAAGTCAAAGTCAAAATCATTTATTTCAATTAGGCCAGAATGGCACTTTTGAACGTCAACAAAAACAAAAATTTAAAGTGAAGCTATTTGCTCATTCCAAGGCGTAGATTCCTATGGAGAAGAACGAGCAAGAAACTCCATAGGTTACTCTTTTTCAATCAGGTTCACAATACAATTTACTAGTTACATAGTTTTGCTGTTTGGATTGTGCGAGAACAATGTAACACTAAAATCCAGTCAAAGTGATCAAAAAAGAAAATAACCTTAAGGACAGTAATACAGTCTGGAGCTGACCAGTCCCAGTTGACGGCGCCCGTTCACGAACATGACACGTACACCAGCACCGCCCAACTCAACCATATTGTAGGGAATCGAGCGATCCACTGCACGCGCCACCGCCAATGAGACCTTTGAGTGAGCATGACAACTCCAAGCTGACACAAATGAAATCTACTAATCTAATTTAATATTAAGTTAATTACAGGGCTCTCACATTTACAATGGTTATCTAAGTTAAACAATATACAATTTAGCAATATGGCTGTATTATTTACGATTTCATTAAAACAAGTGTTTTTAGTTATCCTGTGGAGCCGGACTAGCCTGCATCCAAGCATTTTTATCCTCTATATATTCATTAAGTTTGTAATATGCTTGTCTACATAAAGTTTTCTTTATACATAATTTAAATTTCGATTCATTTAGTTGTTGTACATCGCCTGGTATCTTATTATAACATTTAACACAGAATCCCATGAACGACTTACTTACTTTCGCTAATCTCGAAATTGGCTGACTTAATCTATTCTTATGTCTAGTTTGATAGTGGTGTCTGTCCGACACTTTACCAAATAACTGTAGGTTTTTCCTAACATACATAATGTTTTCATAAATAAATTGACATGGAACGGTCATAATGTTGATCTCCTTAAACCTTTCTCTGAGTGATTCGCGACGACCTAGATTGTAGATAGCTCTGACGGCGCGCTTTTGTAAGATAAAGATAGACCAATGTCAGCAGCGTGTCCCCACAGCAAGATGCCATACGACATAATGCTATGAAAGTAACTGAAATACACTAGTCTTGCCGTGTCTATGTCAGTTAACTGTCGTATCTTCAGACAGCATAAGCTGCAGAGCTCAATCGTCCCGCTAATGATGTAATGTGAGGACCCCATTGCAATTTGTCGTCTACAGTAATTCCCAGGAAAGTTGTCTCTTTTACAAACTCTAATTTCTCACCATTCAATAATATGTCACAATCGTTGCTTTTAACATTTGGCAAAACAAATTTAATACATTTTGTCTTTTTATTGTTTAGTACTAAGTTATTTAATGTAAACCAATTATGAACTTTCATTAGGGCATTATTTACGTCGTCATAACTATTTGTGCGTCTATTAATTTTAAAAACTAATGAAGTGTCATCAGCAAATAATACCATCTGCGGTTCATTTTTAAATAAATGGGGCAAGTCATTTATGTACGCTAAAAATAAGAATGGACCTAGTATCGAGCCCTGCGGTACACCCATAGATATGCTAGCACCCTGTGAATTTACTTTATTTACTTGTACTTTAAGTTGCCTATCCTGAAGGTATGATTTCAACAGATTTAGCGACGTCCCCCGAATGCCGTAGTGTTTCAGCTTCAGCAATAGTGTCTCATGCTCAACACAGTCGAATGCCTTCGAAAGATCACAAAATATGCCGATGGCATCCCGTGCTTCTTCCCAAGAGGCGAACACCCGCTTAATTAAGCTACTCCCGCGTCAGTAGTGCAGCGACCTTTGGTGAATCCGTATTGTTGATCATGAAAAATAGAATTCATGTTAAAGTGACGCAACATCTGAGAAAGCATCAGCCTTTCAAACACTTTGCTGAGCGCTGGCAAAATAGAGACCGGCCTATAGTTATTGGGTTCTGCACTATCACCGGATTTAAACAATGGAACTACTTTACTATGTTTCATTAAATCCGGGAAAACTCCGTGATCTACACTTTTATTAAAAATAAACGCTAAATGAGGCGCTATAGTCTCTATAAAAGATCTACACACTCTAACAGACATGCCCCAGAGATCTTCAGTAGACTTAACTTTGATCTCTTTGAACGCTTTAATTACTGCTTGGGGGTTTGTGTATTGAAATCGAAACTCAGAAAGGCACTCATTGATATTACTTTTAAGAAGTTCAACGGAAAGAGTCGGAGATGATTTCAATGCTTCCGTAGTTTTAATCGGAATATTTTTAAAGAAACTTTCAAATTCCTGTGCAACTTTATAATTTGAATTGATACGTCCATTCGCAGTATTTAGATTAAATTCAGCACTACGTGATTTATTTCTACCTGTCTCGTCATTAATTATATTCCAGGTAGTTTTTATTTTATTTTAGTCTTAATTTTATTAGTAATGTAAAGTGCTTTAGCCTGCTTACAAACTAATTTAAACGTTTTTGAATATTTGGAGACATAAATGTGAAAAGCCTCACTATGATTAAATGGTTTCATACCGTAAAGCTCAAATAACCTTTCCCTACTTATGCGTATACCTGGTGTAGCCCAGTCACAGAATACCAACTTGCATTGAATGTTTTTGCGTTTTACAGGGAATAATTTATCAAATTGAGTTTTAATAATTGACAATAGGTTGGCGTAAATCTCACTCGGGTATTCACTATCATGTATTTGACCGCATAAATCATTTTTTAAATTATGATTTAATGACTCAATTTTTTTATTTGAGATCTGTCTAAACATAATTTCACTTTTTTGAACAGTTGTGATGGTGTTAAAGCTAACTGTCAGCCCACTGTGATCAGATGATAATTTATTAACAACATCTTTATGTAAATAATCACAGTTACAAAAAATATTATCTATACATGTTGCCGTGGTGGATGTTATACGGGTGGGCTCAAGGAAAACATTAGATAAATCAAAAGATTTGAAGAGACTTAATAAGTTAGTACAAATAGAGTTATTTTCCAAGAGATCAACATTAAAATCGCCACATACTATGGTACATTTACTACTAGAACACGTTTTGTGCAGTACATCTTCCATTATGGAGCTAAAACTATTAAAATTTTGTGACATAGGAGGTCTATAAACACAGATTACAATATGCTTATCCAGCTCAACACAGGACAACTCTATTGTGTGCTCTATTGACAATAATGTAATATCTTGTCTTTCTTTATATTTCACTGAATTGTTAACTAAAATTAGGCTACCACCATGTATCATTGTTTGACGGCTAAAATAGTTTCCAACACAATAGTTTTTAAAATTTATAGATTCTACTTGATAATCCTTCAGCCAATGTTCAGTAATACAAACAATATCATAATTAAATTTTTCTAAAAATAATTCAATTTCTAGAGATTTTGATGAAAAACCCTGCATATTTTGATTAAACAATGTTAACAACTTTTCTTGTTTATTCTTCTTATGTACTACTTTCATAGATTTAGACTTATATATACTGCCAGAAGATACCTTAACAATGCATGGAACATTTGTAACATTTAATTGTTTATCCTCTGTTGTCTTATTATTCAGTTTAAAAAGTTATCCAGAGTACCCACATTTGTCATCAAATCATGAGTCTCTTTCGTACTATCATAATAAGTACAGCTAATCTCTATATTATTAGATTGTCTAGATAGATATAGATATAGCAATATGCTAACTGTCTATATATCTGTCTATATAGTCTGTCTATATAGATATAGCAATATGCTAACTGTTGTATAATTATAACATAAATAAATATAATTTATGACAACAAAAGGAGGCCCTGGTAGTTGATACAGTCAATTAAAAGTATTTACAATGTGTCTATAAATTATAGTTGGTTCTTAAAAAACTATAGCAAAATCATATTATTTAGAAATATTTTTTCACAATTAACAAATTAGTCCGTAATTTAGAGATAAATGAATGTGTGATAGTACATTGTAGGTACTTATTCTTTTTGGTGATATAATTGCGATGACGGAAATGTAGTAAATATAATCTAGTACTCAGATAACTAAATTTCAGGAAATGTTTTTATCTGAAATAGATTATCATGATGAGGCATTATGATTTACACTGATAGACAATCTGCGGGTATAGGACTGCCCAAGTTTTCTTCCTTTTCATTAACCGACTATTTATAATTATGTGTATTACTTACTTATATGTATGTATGAGGGAGCGAAAATAGATTGCTCTCGCTGTGCCATGTCGCTGGCACGTAATAAAAATAAGTGTGTATTTGCAAAAAAACTAGAAACGTATGTGTGTGTTTAGCTTTACTATCACCGACAAATATAGCTTAGTTTCAATTTATAACAAATCATGATTCGACACACCTAATGTAAAAAGTACACAAAGCCAGTCCGATCAATTAGAAGCGAATTAGTCAGCCTTGAGGTTTAAATTCAGTTCAGTTGTAGGCAGGTACCCAGGATACGACAAAAACGTTATAACTCGATTTTGCAATTACTCACATTGTATTTGAACGCGACGCAATCGTTCGTATTGTAATCCTTGACGGTTGGCTATCGCTAATATGATTGTATATACCTACTAAAACATTTTATTTTTTATCTCACATTGTTTACATATGGGATTGAATATTGTAACTATTAATTCGTATGTATATCGTGAAAGTGGGATAGCAAATGGTTGCTGGGGCTTTACTATTAATTTTCAGTGTGTGTTGTATGTGTAGGAATTTGTGCGGACTGCGTAAATTGTTGATGCAAGTTATCACAGACGGGACATGTCTAGTTAATCATGCAATTTGAGGACAGGATGAGCGCGGGCGTCTGATGCGGCGGACCATCGTCCGCTACGTGTGTCTCTGCCTTACCATGGTGCTCACGATGATCTCACCGAGAGTCAAGAAACGCTTCCCTACGCTTAACAACTTCGTTGATGCTGGTCTTCTACTAGAAAACGAAAAAACAATCCTCGACAATCTAAATGACAAGTTCCCTAAGCCCTCTAAACATTGGTAAGCACGATTCTATTTTTGCATTCGATGAAACTTTTTATAAAACAATTAATTATTATTAATGTAATCAAATTATCAATTGCTATCATACTCCTACTTTACAACTTTTATCATATCAACTCTTATATCAAAGGTTATCAACTTATCAATGACTAGTCATTTACTGATAAATTCACAAATTATTAAGGAAACGATTTAATCGCCGCCAATTATAAGTAACTCTACTTACGCAACAGAACCAGGACGCAATTTGTGATGGTTGTTTAAACTGAGTCATCAATTTCAGGTTACCAATTGTATGGGCGACTAGCATAGTGACAAGAGCCCGCAAAGAGGGTCGAATTAGAGACGATTTTGCAGTAAAAACGATTATAGATGAATTAAATAAATTCAGAGGACAAGCAGGACTTCTCCTTAGTTACGATACTATAAGTGTACCATTAGTATATACTCAGGTTTGTACCTACTGAATTCCTTACTTCTAAAACCAAAACTACGTAGAAACTTCTTGGATGATCCCTAATAATTTGTACCCCTCGTCTTTCAGGTAGTTACCATAGCAGTATACTCATATTTTATAACATCTGCCTTGGGCAGCCAGTGGGTCGACAATAAATTACAACGCAACGATTCCGTCAACATTAGTAATATTGACCTCTACTTTCCTATATTTACTACGCTAGAATTCTTCTTCTATATGGGATGGCTCAAAGTGGCCGAGTCTCTGATCAACCCTTTTGGTGAGGACGATGATGACTTCGAAGTAAACTGGTTGATAGACAGAGATTTGCAGGTGAGTGTCTTACCAAAGAAGCTAGACAGTTTCTCATTAAAATTGTTGATACTGATAAAGCATGCATGCGTGTCTTATTAGGTTTCGTACATGATCGTGGATGAGATGCACCACGAGCATCCGGAACTGATTCGCGATCAGTACTGGGACGAAGTGTTCCCGTCGGAGCTGCCTTACACGATAGCGACGGAGAACAACCGAGAGGAGCATCCCGAGCCGTCAACAGCGCGTGTGGCCGTACCAGTGCGACAACGCAGTATGGTGCTATCTGCGCCATCGCAAGTCAAGATCGACGAGATGAACCCCTCCAACACCGTGAGTTACAAGTTCGACCCGCCAGAGGTTAGATTCGACCATTTTATTAGCATGCTGCACACCCGGATTTAATGGAGCTTCGCAGTGTGTCGGTGTTCAGGTTTACGGACATATTAAATCTTACTTACCTATACGAGAATTGGTGTGCCTAATTCAAGAATGGTTTGAGGAAACGAATTTATTAACATATTGGTTTTTTGGTCCTTCAATGTTGTGACTAAGGAAAACCTTAGACGTAATAACGTATTTAGAATTACGGGTATATCTAGCGTATCAAATAAAATGATAAGGATATTTTTATTATTAATCATAAACATATTATTAAATTGGTTGATAAGGGGTAACAACTACTGACTTACTAAGAACGTTGCTTAATTTGAATGACTAACTTTGTACGTAACCTTAAAGCAGATACAATCTATATTTTAACAACCGTCTTCCTTTTAAGAAATTAAACGTTGTATGATTAATAAACTAATCTAGCAGCTAAGTATTCTCTATATTTAACAATAACAAAATTAATAATATCTATTCAGTATTTTCCTACCTATAAACGTAACGCCTATTTATTTATTTAAATATACCATGAAATCTGAATAATACGTTTAGGTTACATGTTGGGTCACACTAATTTTATTGAGAATTTTCGAAACTAAAGTATTTTTTCTCTCTTCTATCGTTTGTGATATCTTTTGTTAAGTTTTGTAACCAACATTATTTGTTGATTGTGTAGTGTGTTCTCTCGACTATTCGTTGTTACTCCCTTCTTGTTTATTGTGGTCGATTGAATATTTACGTACCTACTTCTTTCCTTTTTATTTCTCAATTAACTTTTTATTCCGCCTTAAATGTCGCTGTAAATAATAATAAGCGTAATGTTCTTTTTTTATTCTGTTTTAAAGATTAACTGTCTTCCCGTAACAATCTTATCTTCAATTGAGGTAATTAGTACTTAGTGTTGTGTCGCAAAAATGATTGATAACATCTGTGTTTCTGAAATAGCGATGCATGGCATTCATGTGCCGGCCTAAATGTTCCAGTATTTATGTATTTTATTCATTCAGTATAAGACTATGTATTAAAATTGGTTTGTGTTATATAGCAACTGCAAATGAACGACGATGCGGTTTCGGGAATCCATTTCATCGTGAACCGCGGCAGTAAGCGCGGGAAAAAGGAAGACAGAAACTCTATGGGCTCCACCAACTCTATGGCGTCGCTACAACAAACTCCGATGGCGCGAACAAACTCTGTCACATCGATGCTGAAGAGACTGTTCTCTAAGGAAGAACAAAGGGGCACGTCAGCAACACAGACCGATGGTGGTACGTTCAGGCTGTTGAAGCACGATGGTAACTCTTCATTAACAATTTCCCATCGCATTCTTTCGTTTGATTAACTGTGTGATTGGTGGTGGAAGGCATTGTCTGTTCTATCCCCTATTCCAATAGTGACGTACTAGACTTAAAGTGCATACATAAGTTAGTTAGATTCATAAAACTCGCACCTTTGGCCCAGACTTTGGCAAATGTAAAGAACGCACCGATTCTTCTTCGATCACGATCATGCATCTAGACATACAAGTACGTTTTTGTATAGGAGACAAGTATTATTCAGCGAATAACATGTTCCGGATGTCTGTGGTGTTGGTGAAAATACACATTTTTAAATTATAGCACAATTAATTAAATAGTAGGTATTTTAAAGAACAATATCTAGGTCAAAAGTGTTCGAAGCGACATTCTCGCAGCATCTGAAGTAGCTGTTTGTTTGCTAGCAGATGTCGATCAATGGCAATTCCCAGTATCATTATCACTATGTTAAACACTCGCGTAAACTTCTTATCCGTACACGCGTCATCTTCGATAATGCACTGAAAATTAACAGCTTAGTAGTTAGTACATAACATTAATCAGTTTTGATCGTATCTCAGTAGTTAATAATTGCTACATTATCGTTACAGGTTCTCGTTTTACGATATCTGCCAGTAACCCAACTCTGAACAAGCCCACCACTGCCGGAGGTAGCATGAAGATCGCGAATGATATTATTGAAGAGGTTGATGAGCAAGCCACCATCACTAGCATGGGGAAACGACCTGAAACTAGGTAATTATAAATTAATTCTAATTATAAGTTCAGTCAAGTATATTGACAATGGTTGAAAATTAGCCCACATTTCTACAATTCTATAGGCAATATAAGATTTTGGCTCTTGTATCTTATCTTAACTAATATTTGCTACGTATTCGTTAACGCCAAAACTTTTCAGTTACATAATTATTAGTAGGTATTATTAACAATCGGTAATCTAATTACTACTAATAATACAATAAATTAATGAAGTAATAAACACCATGAAATCTATTTCGCTTTCGTCCCGCAGCAAAACAACTTGCCAAAGAGATTACTTTCGATGTATAAAGTAAAAATAAAAAGTAATTTATTTATTTTTCCTAAAATAATCATGGAAAGTCGCCTATGAAACACTTATATACGTATAGGCTCTATTCGCACCGCACGTGCCGACCTGCCAACAAATACCTCTTCGAGAATTACATAGCGTGATGTTGTGATAGGTAATGTAAGTACTATGAGTTCGTATGTCTTTCGAGTTTTGATTTATGTAATGGTTCACGTCAGTAGTTATTTTTTTTTAAACATTTTATTTGTTTGTAAAACTTATTGTATTACCAAGATAACCATTTTACTTCGGGACGAAAACTAAATAGATGTCATGGTAGATAATTACATACAATAATAGGTAGGTATGGACAATTACCTCTTTCTATTTTTATGTTATAGGTACTTACTATAATAATTATACTATATCTATAATTAACATAGGTAATATTATAATGTTTAGTTTACCTTACCTGTTAGCCAAACTTGAACTTACATTTATACAAGCTAATTTGATCCTAATTATATGTAATTAGGTTTTAGCTGTAAAACTCGTAGATATGTCCTACACGTACATGTACAGTACAGGTGCCTACTTATAAGTACGTTACAAACGAAATACGTAGAAAAATAACAATCACTCAATATGCAAATGAATTTCAAACGAAAATCTGAATGCCAACAACGCCATTGTAGCTTAGCGAGTCCATATTTAGATGGTGCATTTAAACCACAATAAACAATAATGGAGTCAAATTAATTGTTATTACTTGTGTCCTGTTATCAATAGATGGTGACGAATGGTGACGTCACGAACTTGCTTAAAAATCACCTTCTGTTCAAATGGCGTAGGTCGGTCACTTACCTTTGTATACCTACTATACTATAGATGCCTAGTAGTAGATACATTATACATTTAAAAAGAAAAAAAAACAGATTTTTTTAATAAGTACTCTGGTTTGTGCACTTTAATCTACAGTACCTAACTACCTACCTATGTAATTAACATTGATTCTAGAGTTGTTCGGAAGTAAAATACCTACCTATTATTAACTTGAATTCACTAAATATTTACCTGTTATTAATATGACTTTATAATATTAATTAAATATAATGAGAATATTGTTTTGTAACCACTTCCTAGAAATACATACTTATTCATGAATTGTGACGTTATTTGTGTTGCAGGCCTACAGCGATGAGTTTGTTCACTCAAGCGCCTCCGACGCCAAGCGACCCAGTCGACGTTCCAGTCAGAAACTCAAACAAAGCCAATTCTAGTATGTTAACTTGATTTGTTTTCCTCTTCTTTGTTACGTACTCTGTAGCTACTTCATCATTGTAAATAAGTTCAAATGACCTCATAATTTACATGTTATTAATGTTTTCACACTAAAGTATTCTTAGTCATTCTAATTTATCATCATTCTGTTAAGTTAGGTACCCAGTCAACTAACGTATAAATCATCAGACAATTTGCATGTAGGTAAGTAACGCATTTAACCGTAGATTTAGGTAATTGTTACAAGGCAATATGTGATGCAGTTTCCTTACAAAATACTTGATACGTGTTAATTGGGAGTAATTTATGATATCATCACTGCTTCAATGCAATATAGTTACGCAGCCCAATGACCTGAAAAACGAACGCTTATTTGAATGTCAAGGTATATATATTACGGTTCCTCTATTTTTTTTTTTTGTATACTATAGAGACCTATTAACGATACGATTCAGTGCCCAGTAAACTTTTGTTTACAAAAATCAACTACTGAAACGCTTCTCATGGATGTATCGTGAGATCGTGGGCAACGGCTCACATCGCCGAGTTAATCAAGTGTCTAGTCTACTCAGTACCTACCCTATAAAACAAAGAACTAGAAATACCAGGAAGAATAGCTATTCTTCCAGGTATTTCTCATTTCTAATTTCAAATTTCTCAGTCTCACTAATTTCTAATTTCAAAAAATTTCTAGTATGAATTAAGAATCAGATTTCTTCTACTGAAAAGTTCCTCATTCTGTCCACCTTTACTGTTACTGTCATTAATTCCACAGACTCTCGCCTGTCATCATCAGCGCCAAATCCTTACGCAGTGCGACCTAGTGAAGGAGGAGATCTCAGTCCTGCAGCCCAGTCACTCAATACGCAGGATTCCTTCGTTTTGCCCGAAGAGCGTCCAAGACTCGACAGCGATGTAGGCCCATCGTTGAGCGCAGCTGGAAGTCAGACTTTGTGTAAGCATTCGCCTGCATTAAATATTAATACCTAAGTATTTAGCTAGTACGTAAAATTAACATCTCGTAGGACACAAGCACTGACATTTTCTTGTTTCTAAATACAGTGGATGAAGCAGACGGCGGGGAAGATCCCGAGTTGGATGATTTTGATCGTTTGCGTAGCATTCGAGAACAACATCGACGGGAGAAATATCTCCAGAAATTAATGGCACGTTCTATAAGCGCTCAACAGGTAACTATTATCCGATATATTGCAGTAAAATTGTGTTTGCTTACCAGCCTTGAGAGCAAATGCTCATTCCTTCTCCACGTGAGAACATACCTCACCATGAATGATAATGTATATTTTGCTTGTTACCCATGTTAATTTGTGCTCAAACTATTGTTTCGCGTTTTTGGTAATGGTTAGTCAGGTGACTATTATATAGTAATAAATATGTACTAGGTGCTACATATAGTGAGTGAAACCAGCTCTCTCCAGTGGCCGTCAATATAAATGATAGTTTTCAACCGAATTCATTGTATCTTCAGAAGTTCAGTTACCTACTTAAAAAACACAATCTCAAATGCTACTGTATAGCATAACTTTGTCAAAGTAACAGCTAACACGACCTGCATTATTTATCGTGATTTTATATTTCGGTTACAAATAAAATTATTTACAGAGAACGGGTAGCACGGAGTTGATGGATAATGATCTTCTGCTAGAAGATCTTCTCTCTCAATCAGCAGCAGCTCAGAAAAAAGAAGAAAAATCAAAGATTGATCCCAAAGACAACGCCACTTGACACAGTAGAAGCTTTATATTCCCATGGGAAGGCGCAGATTTCTGAACAATTTAGCGCGGTTCAGTATTAGCAAATTGTGATAAATTACATTTTTATTGGTGCATTGGATTTGATATTAAAAGTTGTATGTAAATATAAATCATTTTCGCCATATTTATTTGTTTTTATGTGCAAATTACGATATTACAGGCCATTGTCATCGTGTTGAAGTTAAGTTTATACCTTAGTTATTTGTGTTAATTATTAAATTGCAAAAGTAATTTGTTAGAGTTGTCAAAAGTAGTTTTGTTTTACGAGAAAATTGTTAACTACAAAATTTTTACTACACATTTTTGTACAATTCATGTCTAGAAAGCTTTTTTGTAACATACTAGTTTTGGCGCCAGAGCACCGTAAAGTACATTTTTATGAGCATTATGGGAAAAAATTAATTTTCACACCACGTGAAAGCAAGCGTTTTTTATAGTGATGTCGTTTATAGGTCTTATGTTCATGTGAATGTCGTACACAATTTGGGAACTTGCCATAACCTCCGGCCGTTAGTCGTTTCTGATGAACCGCACATAGGAGATTAGACCGATTGAGACCCAGAAAACTTTCCATCTCCAACTTTGATTTGGTTGGCTAAAGCTAGATTTTTATAGTGATCTAGTTATTTTTTAATAATTTTATTTTATTCCAAAATAAAAAATACGGTGAATTCCTCTTCATGATCTTATTACTGCCTAACTCGATAGGACACCTACTGTAAGTTACAAAAATGTTAATTCGCCCTAGACGGCTCTTATTTAGGTAAGTACCTATGCCATGTGAAAAAATAATCTTCACGAAAATGTATTCTACTCGAAGTAGACAGGACACTATCTTTGATCACACCTTGGGGTAGGTCTATAAAAGGTGTGATCAAAGATAGTGTGAATGTACGAACTAATACGAAGATCAATTAAACTGTCAAACACCGAGCGGTCACCGGTGACCGCAACCTATTGACCATATTTTATTAAAAAATATTACCTCAATTATTTTCCACATATCCTATTGAAACCTTGTAATCACTATGGATTAGGCTTTGGGACATATCTAGTTTAATTTAAGAGCTAGAGCTAGACAGTCACAGCACAAAATTATGTAATTTCTATTTAATCTGGCACTTCAGTGTTTTATCTTGAGGAAACCATTAAAATAGGCATAAAAATAAAAACAACAAATTAGATGGTGACGGGAATTTTATTTAGTTTAACTGTGTAATTACTTCAGCTCCAGCTTACAACTTGAGCTTAGTCCTCCTCCAGTGACGCCTCTTAGCGTTGTATCTGTGAAAAAAAATAAAACATCATAAATAAAAAGAAATTGCAATACAGGATAGTTATAATTTTAGTAAATTCTTAACACTATCACAGCGGATCACGATATCGATTCTTATTTTTCGTGAATCACGAGTAGCACTCGTGATCGCCTTTCATACAGTCAATTACAAAAATACGACGTGTTATCGTGATCAAGAAAGGTTGGATAATGGTGAGGTTAAGGTTTCTAATAATGATTTTTGGAAGCTCCTGAAACCGGAAACAAACTGATATGTAGAGCAAATGAAGACTAAACTGGCTAGACGGGGACTGCTGAAACCAGACGCAGCGACGGGTCACATGTTAAATATGGTTCAATGCATAGATGACTCCAAAGCCAAAGGATATGTGCCTCCTTGATCAATTGAAAAATGTGCAATATGCATGTATTATAATACCTAAAAACCTTCCTTAAAACCGCATCAAAATCCGTTGCGTAGTTTTAAAGATTTAAGCATACATAGGGATAGGCAGACGGCGGATAGCGACTTTGTTTTATACTATGTAGTGATCTATAAAATAGAACTTAAAATATTTACATACACCTTTAAAAAAAGTACCTAATAATAATAAAAATGCTATGTTAAGGCATCAAAAAAAACTTTCCTCATTGCTATCATGAGGTAGGGTGCCCAAAAGTGACAGCATTGCCACGTTGAATGGCAATGCTTTAACCTTTGCCTAAGGCAAAATAATAGCCTGACTAGCAATTATGCTTTCAAACCGTTTGGGGTTGAAACTTTGGGGCTGTGGGGCCCAAGTGCACATCTAGTTCAGAAAGATATTGTAAGGAGGATGGTTGACACCAGGTGATCGAAGGGCTGGTTACTATCTTGGGCAAAGGTTAAGCATTATCATTCAACGTTGCAATGCGGCCAGTCTTTTGGGCATCCTACTATATAAATAATAATAATGCAAATACAAAAAAGAATTATCCATATACTCCAGTCCATTATATTTATAACAATTATTTAGCAGAAAATCACTCGCATACCATATCAAGAAGTACTAAACGCTCTGATTACACTGCTAATGGTAAAATTGCAAAAAGATGATGAAAACAAAATGCACTCATATTACATATCATTTGCAACTTTAATAGTTCAATGCTATAACAAAGACATCAATTTCTCATCATGTTGAAACACCCCAGCAGAGTTAAGAAAGTATGAGTACTACAGATAAAATATCATGTGACAACTTTTATTTATTTTCATAATATCTTATCAAGAGTTATACATCTGTTTGTTTACAAAAAATACATGCACATTTCAGTAACTAAAATAATGTTACTCTCAACTGTGGGAAATAATGTATTTAACCGTTTTCAGTAAACTGGTAATGTAAAATGGTAATTGATAGGTAAATTACTACACTGGTCAACACAATTTTAGTAACAGCAACAGCTGAAACAACACCTATTTATTGAACAACTATACTATTTATTATAATTATATCAGGGATATATATATAGACCCCCTAAGGATACTCATTCACGAGAGTAGTTTTAAATGAATTGAATGATACGGACATTCACTAGCGTGTGCACGTGCTAGATGCAGTAATACATGAATAACTAGTGGTTTATTGTCACAACACAACATTATTCAATCAAAGTTACACAAATTTTGGAATGTTGGGTCAGTGGATTTTCTTAGGGAATGTTGTAGCGTAGATTCTAGTGTTTTTAATTTTAAAGAATTTTTTCCCAGATTGAATACATAGTTCACAGGTAAGTAGTATGCACTCTAGTAGTAATAAGTGAAGCAATGTGAAATATCTTACGGACAAGTCAAAAATTCATTGGATTAATTGAAAAGTCACAACATGATGTTTTGATATTGTTATTACAATATTATGATAGAAATATGAAAGTAGACACTAAACTTACCTAATTGTATTCCCTGTGCGCATTCTGACCCATTGTGGGATAGGCCTGTTTTGTTTCAGCTTTTTAGCAAGCTTGCGCTTGATAATAAATGTCTTGTGTGCCGACTGAAATATAAAGAATTAAATTGGTTAGTACAAAAATACTTTCTGATTGATGATTTCTAAAATATTTAAAGATTTTATATAAAATATTCACACACCATTTTGCCGATCACAGTTGACAAAACAAAGTGACAGAGTTTGCGTCAAATTTCAACGAGTATAGATTTTAATGTTTTAAAGCATACAACCAGCCGGAGTACGTGTCTTTTAGCTAATCTAAGCATAAAGCATAGAGAAAACAAATGTGTATTTAGGTGGTATTTAGCCATCTAAGCATAGAGTAAACAGAATGGCTTAGTTTAGCATTTAAAAATGAAAGAAGTATAGCGAAGGTTTAGTGCTACTTAAAGTTAGAATTAAACTCATTTATTCAAATAAAAAACTTAAATTAAAAACTAACTATTACTTAAAAAAAAATTAAAACTAAATATTACTAAATTAAATACCTATATACAACTAAAGATTAAAATTAATTATAAGAAAAAACAAAAACAACTATTTACATAAAGCGTCGAAAAATTCGTCCGCATCGACGTCAGTGGGAAAGTACCAGAAGGCTGGCAGCATTGCCACGTTGTATGGCAATGCTTAACCCTGACCGAGAAAAAGACCAGCCCTCTGGTCACGAGATGTGTCAACCAGGCGTTTTGAAATGTTTTGGAATAATTTAAGTGCACTCGGACCCCACGGACCTAGCGTCTCAACCCCAAACGGCTCAAAGATATAACTACCAGCAAGGTTGTTATACTTGCGCCGCTTGAGGCTTTCTGCAGAGGCAGCAGCCGAACCAGCACAACCCGCCGTTACTGGAAGATGAGAAGGTGCAAGGGTGTCAACGCAGTGCGTCCCACACCAAAGACCTTCCCAGCTTCCAGGGCATAATGGACATACCGTCGGGTCTCTTACCATCGTCGCGTGTCAAACCCTTTGGTTCCAGAACAGCTGCCACACCGGCGATGATAAGAGCTCGGCGGATAATGTCGTTAATGCTGGCGTGTCGAGCTATCCGGCCCGCGCTTCTGCTACACGATAGGCCGTGGTGGCCGAGGTGGTCGCCATCTCACCGCATTGACAGCGATGCGGAGAAACACAGGGTGCACCTACACGCAAGCAAGCAGCAAGCCGAAAAGTTGAGTCATTCAACATCGTGCCAATATTGAGTGACGGAAGTGCCTGTAGCCAGACGCCTGATTCCCACTCACCCACAGCCAATAGGCGAGCTAACTCCGCAGGATTGGTGCTGGTATTAATTAGATTATTATGCACCAACCTGCAAAGCGGCTCGTCCCATTGTCTCTGGGAGGAAGGGTTGACAGGCAAGGCTGTATTGGGACATGTTTCTGTCCAGACGTTCATCGCGTCGGTCAGACACGGCACATCGGGTTCAGCGTCAACACCAGCTAAAATTTTGTTTGTTAACGTTCTAGTGCTGTGGACAGAAGAGATGAACGCCGGTAAACTTACACTAGTAATTTTGCGGACGCCTAGACCGCCAAAACGAATTGGTAGTGTGGCTTGAAGCCAAACACGATCGTCCATAGAAGCATTCAAAAGAGAAGTTAAGGTGTCACGGATAATTTGATCAATTTGGTCCAGAATATGCGGATGCTTCCACAGAGGGGAAGCACGCAGAAAATACATAAATTTTGGGCCGAAACAACAATAGCGAATTAAATAGTTAGAATTGGTAAGCACAAAGAAAAATTATTTCTTAAAATACATTTATGAGACTGTCAGACGTATGACACTTCCCTTCTCCCCTTTCTAGGATCGTACTACGTACGTTCTTTACCACTTCCCTGGCCATCGTGTTGTTTAATTTCAATCTTGGTAAAATTTTTCAATGTGGAGTGTGAATCTTGACCATAAAACACCAAAAATATCAATATGGCATCTGCATCTGAGTCCTAAAATAAAATTCTTACTGGCATCTTCTTACTTAGTTTTTAGCATGTTTTTAGTTATTTATATGTAAAGTTGTATATATTTATTTATTTTAAGATGTATATATTTTCTAAATCACTGCATAAAAGTACTAATAACGTACCTTCAATAAAGAACCATAAAATCATTGATTTATGAATTTAAAAAATGCATTACTGGCAACACTGTCAGTATCCATCCTGTAATGCTTCAAATCGACAAATGTCAATGTCATATCATCTGCCGTTGTCAGTGTCAGTGTCAGAGAGTTTAATGATCAATCTATTTGGTTTTGGTGTTCTTTTATTTATGATTATTTTTATGGAAATCTTCGAAAAATACGAGATAGGAGTAAACTTAAAAAAACTACATTTTTAGTTACTTTAGTATTTTAGACACAAATTATCTCATAATGAATTACTTTAGCCTTAATAAATTGGTGACGACACTGGGTGTTCGAAGGTTTTTGGAGTTTCGAACGATGAAGACCAAAACAATAATCAATGCTGAAGGAAAAGATGTGATTAAAAAGAAAACTTATGAAAATAGAATAACGCTGATAAGTCCAGATAATTCACTGAGTATTACAGACTTGAAAAATGCTCAGAATATATCCCTTAGACGCGATTTAAAACTCGTAAAAATTCAAGATATTGATTCGAAAACTAGACGACCTGTTTACAAGTAAGTACCTAGTTGCCTATCTAATTTTATATGTAATAACGAAAATAATATTTTAACATTTAAACCATTTAATGAGTTCTCTAATACTTACCAAAAAAATTAAATATACTTTCAGACTAATGACAAACTCAGAATATCACGCAGAAGAGCTTTCTAAAAGGAAAGAAAAGCAGATGGCCCGTCAGAATGCATCAATAAAAGGGGAGAAACTGTTAACTTTGTCATCGAGGATAGGAGAACATGACCTGATGACTGGTATAAAGAAGATGATGAAATTGGTAGAGAAACAGTATGAAGTTAAAGTGGTTATTGCTGGGGAAGATGCTGAGGCAGCTATAAAATCTGTAAGTTTTTCTTTATCTTATTTTTTTCATGAGATAGGGGTGCAAACTTGTAGATGGAACACCTGATAGTAAGCAATTGACAAGACCCAACACTTGTCACACCAAGGGAGTTACAAGAGTATTGACCGTACTGGAGACTCGGTTATCAAAGGAAAAAAAGTAGTATTGACAGACTTGGTAAATGGTTAATACTGATTTTTTGGGACAGTTCTATATGAAATGGTGAGTCTTAAGTGCCTGTTTATTTTGTCCTGATTTTTTATTTAATGTGATACTTTTGAAACACACTTAATCATTTTGATTAAAATATTATATTGTTTGATGAGTAGATATAATCAATACATATTTGTATTTTCAGGAAAAAATATACCAGACCATAGAGAACCAAGTGAGAAACATGAGCAAAATAGTGCAGAAGAGGGTCAAGGGTAACAGTTTAAGGTTTCAATTGTTGCCTGTAAGGGGTAGTAGCTCTGAAGGTACTGGCAGCACAGACTCTAATCAAAATGACAATAATAAGGGGCCACTATGACTAGGAGCACTCATCCTTGCTATAGTTGTCACAAAATATCTGTTGTTAAATAAATATTACTTTCAAAATATGGACTCTGAGCCACATAAAAAGTCTAAGAAACTAGATTCAAATAGCAGCGGAACTAATAGCATTTGATGTTTGTATTTTCTTTTTTATTAAGTAATTTTTGTGCAATTTGTAATTATTTACAATACAGATCATGTATTTTATAGATTCAAAGTCAATTTAATTTGTTTTAGTAATAAAATTGACTGATAGTTTAAAATAGAGGTTCTATTAATTAATTAATGTAAATAAGCCACATCCATACTTAGTGATTTGATCACTTGTGTATATAATTTTCTTCTTTTTAGTTTTAATGAAATAGTTTATGAAACATGAGATTGTAATGTAAATAATTGTGTTTAGATTTGTTGAAATGAAACACTTTATGTAAATAAATGACAATTTTAATACAGCATCCACCTAGTCAGTCAGTTCAGTCACAGTAGCAGCATGTTCAAGCATATGGCAAACCAGTCTGAGGGCTGATGCTCCCTTGTTCCTACTCTGTACACATTAGCCTCGGACAGATTTACCTGCTAATATACAAGTGTCCACTCTGAACATAGAACTACTTAAACTCTAAATACATACACTGTCTAACACAAGAAGATACATTCAACTAGTATGCTGACATAACTAAAATTCATAAATTAATGATTTATTTTTATCAGTTGGAGTTATCACAGATGTTTTAGAGATCGTTAATTCTTAAATGGTAGGAGATTTATTGGTAGCATATAGTACACATCTAAGACAATAATAAATTATTAAATGGATGGCTATTATGGCAAATGTCAATTTTTATTGCAACAAATAATTTAAGAATAGTCAATTTTCCTTTCTATTTGAACGCTCATTCGCGTTTACGAATATCAGAATAAATCTAGAGAGCTAACTTTACTGTATAGGTACTATAATAATAACATCACTTAATTAACTATGGAGATACTCGGACAAAGAGAACGGAAAATTGGCGTATTGTCATAACATTGCTGGCACAAGAAAATAGGTTTGTGAAGATTAAGCGTCACATTTACTAAACTACTGGATATGGCAATATTTATATAATACAAAAACCTTGTAATAAACATTAGCAAATCGATTAAGTAGATTTGTAAAAACCTATTGAAGTACAGTATACTTTGTGATCTATTGCTTGGAATACATTAAAAAGTATACTTAAAGTGGAACACTTGATTGTCGACATAATAATGTCGTTCCTAATCTAATTGACACTGCGTAGGAAAGAATACTTAAAATATGAACGTTACATAATAATGAACACTAAAACATTGTACCTTACCACGTCGTCTTATCTGTTGCGAGCGATATGAACTCGGTCCTCACGAGTTGTAGATGTCGTCGTCAGCGGTTGGTGACAACCATGAGGTTTTATTGTGCGTAGACGACGTACGCGTATTGGTCTCGGTTGGCCGTCGAGAAGTCAGTGTTGAGTGTCCGGCCCCACGTGATTAGAGGCGATACGGTGCCCACCACGGGAGCAGCGCGTGCTACATTTCTTTTGGGGTCCAGATCCAGGTCCTGTAACAATATAAACTCGAGTTTAGGATACCTAGGGCTTGGTACAACTTAACGTTACGTGATAAGAACATTTAATTACTTGACCTATAGTTGACTACATAATTATTTGGTGCACTAACTGCAGTGGTTGACGTTTCTGCTGCTGTAGGTACAACGTCATAGATTGAGGTCTACCACGGAGCTAATACTTGTCTGATCTACATAATATCGCTCCGCGTCTGGGCTTGTTTGAGTTTATAAAATGGCTATCGATCAGACCTTAACCTTAATTTTTTTTAAGGTATTTTAATTAAGGTATTGTAAAACAATATTTGAACTTAAATCAGTCATTTGTCATTACCCACTGCATTAAATTTTTTTCTGACCTTATAGTTAATAGGCAATTATTAAATGTACGATCTATATTTTAGAAATTAATTATAAGTTTGCGTTGTGGGGCTCATAGTCAGCGTTTTCTGCGTTTTTCGCGCAATGCTATTTATGACTACGAACCCCTAGCGTGGCTTGAAACTAGTCGAGTTATCTGGTTAAACTTACGTGACTTACGCCCGAATACTGAAAGGCTACTTAATTAATTGTTGTATTTAAATATCGTGCCTTCTCTGTCATTTTACAAAGAATTTGTAGTGACAGACGATACTTAAGCGCGGCTTAAAATTTATTGGCGTTTGTGTATTTGGACGTAAGCTATAAACATAATTGATTTAATATGTCTCATGAGAGTATTACTAAAATGGTAGATCTACTGCGGATACCCACATACGTAACTCTAATAACAAAATGGTCACCATATATAAGATTAAATCTATTTCCATTCCAATGTATTAATGATCTACAAGCATGACATGGCGACAGTTTACCAAACAATAACTTTTAAATTATTAATTATGAAATTATTCGAGCAGCATAATATATTTTGATAATGTTTGGCGCTGATTTTGTCGTACTCGTTGATCTTTACGTGCAATTAATTTTAACACCACATAGGCAATACCTTGTTAATGATTCATTATGTAGCAATGATTTATAATTATGGCATACCCAAGTAGCATTCTTAGTTAATGGTAGAGTAACAAGCGAGATCATTTCAGTCCATTATAAGATTATAAGCACATGAACCGCTCAGAATGATGATGAAATTAAATCAATTAAAATATTGCAGTTAGTTACTGATCGATTAGTGAACATGCTGGAAGCATTAATATGAGGGTTAGTTACTCACTGCTTTCGTATTCTCTTTGTATTACGGATATTTTTTTTAGTTCATTGATAGCTCAAAAAAGGTTTGGGTAAGGAAATTTCCAGCAATACGTCTTATTGCTATAATATAGGTAAGCTTACTTGGTTGTTTATTTTTTTGATTATGCTTTATTTACATGTTGTGATTATGTAGATAACATTTTATAGTAGAGGTTGCTTTAATTTTTCTTATTTAATATGTGAATTGTAACTAAGAGAATAAGTGAGCAGCGAAGGACAGACACACCATGTTACCCATGAGAGAGGATCGCCGTCGGCCCGAGCGCCGCTTGCGCCGGCACCAACAACGGCGGCCCCGAGCTCGTGCGCGCCCGTACCCGCGGCTCCGCGTGCGGCCCCGCGCCCCGCCCCGCGCCCCCGCCGCGCGCCCCGCTAACCCAGCGCTGCCTACCGACGCTGGTGCTGCAGTCACGGTCGACACAACTCTCGTCACTGACACCCCCTGCTCCGCTGATCTATCTGCTATGATGTGAGCTTCCGTGTCTTCCAGTGGCGACTCCGAACTGTTGATAATACAATCGTAAGTAACTATTTCTTTTTTTTGTAGTTAGTATTCATCGATATCGATCAGTGATAAAAATTGATATTACATCATGATCTTTGATGATATGATGATTGAAAGCATCGAAATCGTTCACGAGTTACGATGCCACAGACAGACTAAACTGATAGTAACGTTAAAGTTAATACTGGGGCTTAAAATACTTGATATAAACTTACTTGGTACTAATGGAGCAGTATTCACTGAGCTGTCCCCACGTACAACCATTGTTACAACATTCGTCAGCTATGCCATTCTCCACTTGCCGTCTTCTTCTGACCACAGAGCCAGGTTGTTCCACTACTGAAAATAAAAAAAAAATATATTTAATTTAAACTGTAAGTAAAAAAAGAGTTAATGGGGAAAAAAGACGTTGGAGTTTGGACAGTAAGTAGCCTAGCTCCAACAGATGTAATGAATAAAAAAGAATGGTTTAATAATAGTTATATTGGTCTGCCTTGTCTAGAAATTCACACAGATACTTTTTAATACTAAGTTTAGCCTAGCCTAGCCTAAACTCTTTAGAGTTCTGATGAAGCACGAGATCATGTAGAAAAAATTCAATTCAATAGATAAATTAATGAGACTTAAAAATGAATTACGTAAAGTTCATATTCATTACAGTGTATGTAATATTTTTATATTTTAGATTTAATTATAAGTGACCTTTCATAATTTGTTATTGAATAAGTTGTAAGTTGTAAGCAATTGCGATAAAATCTGTTGCTTTCCGGATATCGTACTTAGGTTGTGTGTATAAGGTCATTATTATTGTTTAACGAGTTTAATAACTTATTATTTTTGTTAAATAATATTAATGTTTAAGTACAATAGTAACACGAGTATTGGGCATTAAGATTGCTTGTTTTGATAGTTTTTTTTTATATTAGGCGTGGTCACTCAATGGCATTCGTTTTGTGATAAGATAGAAATAAATATTTTTATTCATAATTTATGCTACCAGAGCTTGTTGTTTGTGTGTAGTACGAGTGAATTTCCTTTTTTTTATTCTGCAGTGTAGCTATTTGTATGCTTATTTATCAGATGTCGAAGTGTTTATTTAATTCACAAGTTATAGGTTTAGTTAGGAGGTGAAGGAGCTACAAAAATATTATAGAGTAGGTAGGTACATACCTGTAGGCGTGTCCCAAGGACTGTTGTAAGCGTGGCAGACTCTGCTCATGATCTCGCTGAGTTGTCTACCGCAGAACTTGACCACGGGCGAGGTGGCTGCTTCTGTTCTGCTTTTTAGTAGCACTGCGGCCGCCAACATGGCCAACTGAAGAGCTTTGTTCAATAACATATTTACTAATCTGGAAAGAAATAAATATAACTTTAAGATGACTATCCTCAAGTCTAGCCCAACATCGGAGAGTGAATGTGTAATTCGAGCAGGCTTTCTCCTTTTATATATCGTGGGGTAAACATGTAACTTGACACCAGCACCGCCCATTTGATACCAGATACGTATCCCTCAATACTTTTCATTTCCTAAGTGCATTACTGACTGACTCCGCGTGAAATGCACATTTATCAATCCACATTAGGAAATAATAAATAGATTGAGGGTGCGATAGCTCGGCACTCGCAAATGTTACGTGAAATTAATAAGTGCTATGTTTGTGTAGACGCGTGGTAAAGTTCAAATCGTTATTTATATACCTACATAATTATAGGTTTAATAACAATTAATTAATTTCACGATGTTTACTAATGATGTAGTTAAATTATCGTTATTATCTTTTTTCTTTCTGGACTTCTCAACCTAGGTACTTATACAAGTGAGTTTATGTAAGCATCATGTGAATTTTCAATGTTCATGTAAGTACATAAGTAAGTAATTTTAATGATAATCACAATGTCACAGTATGATGTTGAACTATACTCAATTGCACAAAAAACGCATAGGCGGTACGCTCGTTATCCAGTAAATGTATTGCTGAAAGGCTCACGGGACTGACTAATTAGGTTTGCTTATGTAAAATGACAATGAATTCGATCAAACATTTCGGCGATACAGTCATGTTATAAATTGGTGGACAGTGTGCGTATTGGTGTAGGTCTTTAATGGCAATACAAAATATTTTGCTTATGCATTCAGCATTGAAACAAAACCGAGTAATGATGATGATTTCACTTCACCTTCCCCGTTCATAAAAATGCAAATCAGCGACTTCCTCTTATAAATTGCCGTTCCGAGAGTAATCCAGGGTGGGTGCCACATTACGCCGCTTTGTCCTCATCGTAGTGTAATGAATGTTTGTACATATAACGCATCGAGGACAAGTTCTATTTATAGCGGCTTAGAGGCTGGTACTTGCGTACTGGCAACGTGAGAGTTAAGCACGGTGTGCCACCTACCCAGTCGGTATTAGTAGACGGAGTGCAACCACTTAACCAAATCTACATACGTGTGCACTAGTAGAGCATGTGCCAGCTACTCACACACGTGAGATGCTTACTCGGCTACGTCCATCTGCACTCAATTGCTCTCCATATCTGTTTGTGGCGATACCAAAGTAGAACGCTCGACGTAAATAAAAAATGCATTGAGTACTGCATTCTTTCTGATATCAAAATATACGTAAACCCATTGAGTTTCTTCATAATATAATATTAATTTAAGTAACACAATATAATAAAAAGGATATTAGACATAAATAAATCTTACGAATTACATAGGTTCTGGCAACATAAAGGGTGATACTGTTGTGGTCTCCGCAGCTGCACTTAAACTTCTTTCAATTTGTGATTAAGGATCAGACAATGTAACGACATGATAGTTGTTTAGAACACAATGCTCGGCGGCTGTCGCCGGTCACTCGTAGGGCGCGTGCACCGTGCGCCCGCGCCGCCGCGCCGCGATCGACCGCGAGCGCAGCACGTCGCGCGTCGCCGCGGACCGCACGACGAGCCTCGTGCTCGCGCACTCGATTGAATAATTACGTGAATCTCTGATTGTATCTGTAGCCTTGCTCCTGCTTTAATGTTGTTCTATAACTGGCAATTTTTGCTGACGCGCCGTTAGCCTGTTAGTATTGAGTCACTCGTTAGAGCTCAGTAGGGTTCGAATTCTCCCAACTGAACATTCATTTATCTGAATTAATTTATCAAGCGTTAGACGTTGCGCTTGGCGTTGCTTTATCGTCGAGTTTGAGATACAAAGGTTGTGAACTAGGTAAGGTCATGTATGTATATAAAAGAGAGATTGGATTAGTTAACTAAGCAAAATTATGTTTATTCTAGAGGTAGTTTTAATTAAATAATTATGATACTTATTTACATAAAACAAGTAATATAAGTAATAGCAACTGTCATGTAAGCAGAGGTACCTAATTAAACAAGAGTTGTCATGTGGAAGTCATTCTTTTAGACGTCTTACTAAGATAAATACTTCAGTTGTCTTTTTTAGCATCTGTGTTTTCTACTAGCGTTGTCGTTCATTCAAGGACCAGGGTATTGACACGAAGAAACACTCTTCTTAGGTCATCCGTGAAAATTCGTATATGGGAAATAAAAAATGTCAAATCCTTTGCCTGTCTGTCGTGTACAACGTAGCAAGTTTAAAAGACCAGTAAATAGGTTACCAAAAAGTCAAATAACACAGCATGGTTTTGCGGTCAAAACAATAAAATGTTTAAACATTTGTTTGCAATATTTAGTAACTATATTTATATTTAGTAATAAGTATGTAGTAGATAAAGTATTTTTAATCAAACTAGGCCAACTTGTATGAATGGATCTCTCCATTTCATTCATACAAAAGGCGCAGAATAGGTCTTTGACCGGTTTTCTTTCGAATTAACTGAGAACGATTGGAAATTACGATGGCTAATGGCTATGGACAGTCAAAAGTTATTAAAATTTTATTGTACACATAAACTCGAGGTGCAGTATCTAGCAATCGCTAAGCATTTGAAAGTAACCATTTGCGGTATTATTGGTCGTAATTATTAGAATCGTGTTTTCCAAATGAAACTCCATAAATGTTTCCTCGTACATCCTCCCAATAATTCCAATCTTAAACAGTTATTAGGTAAATAGAGATACCTACATTTTAAATCTAACTAATTGCCTACTTAAGTGTGTACTAATAAGGTCTACCGCCCTAGTTACGCTTAGAAAGTCCCTAATCATCCATTTATGGAAGGAAAACACTAGAAGCATCTGGTGCAGGTATTAGTTTTTTTTACATTGTAAACATCTCTAGTTTCGGTCTCTTAGCAACAAGACACGGTAGACGCTGCCACATGGCGGCAGACGATAGGTAACAAAAGATAATTTAAGAGTTTGCGGGGTCAAGTGTATTGTCGGCTTGCCCAATTGGTGAGTCGAGTCGGTCACTGGCTTTACACCGAACCGGACACCTTTTCATAGACTATAAACACCAACGACGTGCTGTTATTTTATTTATTTCAATTAGGATTACCTAACCGATACCTAATATAATATTATAGCCTATGAACAGTAAACTTTAAGAACATTAATGACTATGAGGTATAAATTATAGGTTTGGTAAGTAATTACAGTTAATTCAGCTAAGTACTGGAAGTACTGTACGTATTATGTAATTTGCGTAGATCTATTAGTATAGAATTTTCAATGCATTGAGTAAAGCGGCTCGTATTTTTCAGTGTTTACGGCACATCGGTGCATCGATCGTATGCCGTGCTCTGACAACTTCAGTCACGTTCCACCACAATATAATTACAATGATTGCCCGCAGCCATTGTACTCGCAGCTACACACGTCGGTACCTAATGGTAGTAGCGTCGTACAAGAGTCATTAGATGGGGTGGCGTAGTGTGTAGTGTGTACACATTACAAGATCTGTAGTGACCGCTTTCGACCTCAATTTAAACGTTGACCTGGTAAAGTTCAAACACCTAGGTAGCCGAAGCAAATATGTACACTTTCATACAACAATACGTTTGTCGGTAGCCATCTTTGTTTGTATGAATTTGATCTTGATACTGAACTATACGTAATCGATTAATCGGACGTTCCTGTTTAAACATTTCACAAATTTCTATACTCCTAAAGGGATAGATCGTAAAAACTGAGTTATGTGTCTGAGCGGCGGCCGTGGGCGACGGACAGCAGTAAAAACCCTGGCGGTAAATGTGAAACTTGCTGGATTCGTCCACTTCTTAGAATTCCTATAGCGAATGGTTTCTAATTGTAACTACCTTACGACTTGCGAGGCGAGATGTACAAGCATGTAATTAAAACGGTACGTTTCAGAGTTATCGTTATGCTGAGATAAAGTTTTAATAGAATCCGCATCGCGTGTGTGTACATAAAACTTTAGCTTTTATTAATTAACCAGACATTAAATTAATTATTCAAACAAAACTTGACTGATGTTTACTAGTTACTTACTACAGTTATGATACCATATCAGGATTTTTTATAACGATTCTAAATCGGTGGTATTTGAGATACGAGAAAAATTCCAGTTCCAAGTTACATAAGATTCAGCTCCGTTAGTTTATCAAAATTATGTTTTAGTATTATACTATACAATATACATATTTATTTATCTAGTTGTTGTCTGAAGTATTTGTGTAGATATACGAAATGTGTGAATGAACTCTTCTTTTGCTTTCTGCGCTAAATATAAAATGGTTAAGTTGGCTACAACAAATCCGAAGATAAACACAAAGATAGCAATATCTGCAAACATAATGAATGAATGAAACGTAATAAATCCAGTTTTGGATATTGAAGGAGCGGAAACTTGAGTAAATAAGATTGAGCATTTGCTGATCCAATTCAATTCTAAGATACCATGCAATTTGAGACGTTGCGCCGTCCTTAAATATTTGGGGGGCATACAGGTGTTGATGCGGATTGTACTACGAAATGATAAAAGATTATAAGTACCTGTGTACCTACTTTATGTGTACCTATTGTGTACCTATTGTGTACCTATTTTATATAATGTACCTGTACTTAGGTGCGAAAGATATGCAATGTTATTACAATGGGCTGAATGAACTAGAATAATCGTGGTACTCTAACATCCTCATATAAGTAATGTTAGTTAATACAAATCAGATAATAATTGTTACGTATGATGGGTGTTTGTGGTGTTAAAGTCATAAGCCTTTTATATTCAATTGCTAACGTTATGTATGTTTTTAAATTTGTTATAGGTACATGAATTTTGATAGTATTTATAATAAATCAACTTTACTTAAGTGCTCCATAGAAATTACATGATGATGATAACAATAACATAAATATATAGATAGTAGTGCATACTGTGAATATTTTCTGACTTTAATTACAAAATTAAGGAATGTATTTGTGTAACATAATTATAATGTTACACGACGTAAGTAATTAATTAAGGATAGATATCACAATTTATTTAAAAAGTAAAAAAGAGCAATTAATTATTTCAAAACTTCACGCTTAGGTAGATATAACAAGTTGCAATAAATGTACGTATATCCGCAATATCTATAAAATATTATTTGATGCATGCGTTACGATGCTAACTTGTTCTAAGTCTAGTTTTCTAAATATATCTTACCGACATAATATAAATATTAATATTTATGATGAAAGGAATGATTGGATAAATAAGTAACAAAGAAAAATTTATGCGGTTGTATAAAAGAAACTTTGTATGTTTAGTGCTTATAAACTTTCATGATATAGACATTGGCAGTTATTAACAGTCTTATTAACAATGTAAGTTTTATTAACATTATCTACTAAAAAATTAATCTACTAAAACTTCAAAGCCGCCAAGTTAAATTAACACACTGTAAGGGAAGAGTATTTTATGTTACGGTTTAGTGTAAACTAAATATAAAACAATGACTTACTTTGTAAGGTAGATCCTATGCAGTGAGCTCCTGAGAGTGTTCTGTTTTTGTTTACAGAGTAGAGTAGTATTGTGTCACGTTTACGGCGTGGTCGGTGGCGCCGGGATCGCTTGTCGCGGTAACTGGTGCGAGGTGCGAGAAGGTCGCAGAGTGCACTACGCGCGTCGTGCACCGGCGCCGCTGTGGTCGCGCTGGCGAGTCGCCGCGTGCGCCGCGCGCGCTTATTATACGCAGACGGTGATGGGCGGCGCGCGCGCACCCGCCACGCCCCGCGCCACGCCGCGCTCCGCCCGCCCGCGCACAACTCACCCCTGATTCCGCTATAAAAACATTTATGACCTCTCTCTAAAGTGATGACTTCAAGTCATTGACCAAGTGCAGGCATCTTGTTTGATGGTTATGTACCCGAGCCCTGCCTTGTTTTCGTTTGATGCTAAATTAGAACACTGCATTGTATGAATGCTTACGATTGTAGCATTTCACAAGAGTACCTAACAGTACCTACCGTACCGTCAGACATGAAGAGAGTTCGTTTGTTTAATTCTTTTTTCCAAAGACTTACATGAATATTTCTATAACTTTTATTTTTAATTGGGTAAGAGTTATCCTGAAAGTCAAAGTAATTCTGCAATGGCACGTAGATATAGAGTAGTTACCTAATGCACATTAATCCCGAATGTGATTTTTCTGAGAGCACTACAATCAACAACGGTCAGACAGGAAATACACTGTGTTTACGAGTTACGGCTATCTCGTAGTCGACGTTCAAGAGCACGTGATTATTGTTTATTTTTGTGTAAGTACTGACTACTTTATTAATGATCCTATCTTCTGTAAGTAGGTAGGTATATACGAAGAAGGTGTGTCTACTTAAAAAGTTTACCTACTTTGTTTACCAATGATAATATTTTTTCATTAAAAACTAAAAACTAACATATTCTGCCCATAATTAGCGAAACGGTTATGAAAGTTATCATTATCTACAGTATTTAGTGAAATATCTAGCCAGCTGTCTTATCTGATGAAGATGAGGATACGCCTGTGACCTCAGCTTACAAGTGGAATTTGCACCCTGTGTATCTTTGTGATGTTTTGCATGGACAGTCTTTCACGAGGCTGACGCATACAATCATTGTTATTGATTTACGGGTTACGGGTTCACTTGACAACTACAATATTTACTAACTCAGATCTCAGATTACATACCTTTTTTTAAATTTCGATCACACTTAAGTATTTGGACTTTATAAAGGGAAAAGGCAACCTGCAGTGATTCATCAGTTCACACAAAATCTCTGGATCGATTTTAATTTTTTGACAGAAACTTTACACAATTATCTCGGTGTTTAATTTTTTTTTAATTCTACTGTTTTAGTTAATAATTTTTAGGTCGTTAATCCCCAGTTTAAAAGCAACTTGAGAATTTCAATTAGGTGGTCCTGACTGTCCCATAGTAATAAAATGTATAACACCCAGGTATGTGCTAAAGCTTCACAAACATTTATAAATTCGCTGCCAAGATTTAAATCGTATATTAGTAGGAACTTAGGTAACTGTTCGCGAAAATTGAATGGTAATAAACGAGTTTTCTATGTCAATACACGAATAGATTTATATGGGTAGCAGAAATGGCAGCAATATTTAGTAGCTAGGCGAATATAGGCTGAAGTATAAGGTACTTATAGTACACCACAATAGTTGTTTAGAAAGCAATACTTACCTACTTATTTTCACCAAAGGAAATGTTTTGTCAATCGTGGAATCCTGTGAAAATCTGACTTTTGTGTAACTTTAAGGTTACAGATATAGAGTGATCAAAATAACCAGCTGTAGGTACCTCCAGGACTAGAGCTGAAATCTTAGGTCTTTGATTTTAAGAAATATCGTGTTCATGTTATTATGAAATATTGAACAATAAAAAGTTTAAATTTTGATTGTGTTGACAACATCGTAAGGGATTTTTTCTTTAGATACATTCAACCTGTCATAGACAAGGAATAACATAACAACATGTGTACTTACTACACACGGAATTTGTTAAAAAAACGAACATTCTCTTACATCTTCAGGAATTATGTCATTAGTTTAACGTAATGAAAGGCCGAGTCTACTGCCAATGTCACCAGCTTATCTATAAAAGGTACAATCGTTGAAACAGTGATTAAAAGCCGTTATTAGTAAACAAGAGAATGATTCAAGGGTGTGTGCAGTGTGGGTAAATAGTGGAATATCCTGCCAATGCGGAGGTTCATTGACAGCTGAGTTTACTACACGCGACTACTATAACGAGTCACTGACTTCTACCATACTACTTATTATAATTATATCGGATTCTTTCCAGTAAATCGCCGCGCTCAATATAGCGGGCTATTTACAAACAAGGTGACAATTATTGACAGCCAGACTGCACTACATGTGCTAATGAAAATTAATTGCAGTGAAATTATATCGCGCCTCGTGTCATAAATGATGGAATGCCAATCTGAACTATTGTCAAGTGTTAATTTATTCTGTTAACAAATCATTAATTAAGTATGAATAAACATGTTAAATTAAGTGTTTGTGTCGAACCGATATTAATCTGGTTTCTAAACTTGATAAAAGGGTCAATATCATCTCTTGTAGATACGTAGGTATATAATTCCCTGTTTGATGTAACAGTTACCTTACAGGTACCTACGTTTTAAATTTTTGTAATCATTTTGTGGATACCTAGTAGGTACCTACCTACCTATAAAGTGACGAAAAATCGTACTTGAAACTTTGGTATCCTAGTTAAGGTAAGGTACTAAACATGAAAAATAGAGGCAAAAAATTGGTGTTGTAGATAACACTACGTTATCACCATTACTTAGAAGGAAAACAATGATAATCAATTTGAAAGGCTATTGAATCACAGATGAGTTTCTTACAAATTTATTCAGGAACACACCATATTTCTTGTGTAGATATTAATATTGTAGGCGGAAAATCCGATAACTATGCTAATGTTGTTTACGTAAATATAATCTGTTCGTTATCATTCCTGTCTGTTCCACAATTTAATTAGTGAAGACACACTTGAGAGCTGTCATGATGGCGCCTCGCGCCTGTCTGCTTGTTTGGGGATGATATATCTTGTCATTACGCTATTTATAAACGCATGAAGAAATTATCTTAGGTATTTATAAATTAATCTATTGCATACCGATAATTTTGCATAATATGAGTAATTCCGGCAGCTATACCTAAATAGTTAGGGGTTCCAGTGGGGTCTCGCGATTGCTATATGACGATGATACATCTCGTCAGTGTTAACTTGAACCTTCAGAGCGACGTCGGACTATTATCGTATTGCCGTAATTTCGTTGTACAAAATTTGGGCCGACTGTAATTATTTATAGCACATCAGTAGTGTTCAATATCTTTACTAAAATGTATTTGATTGATCGTCGCAATCTAGGACATGACAAGGCCAGATCGTGTTCGGTTCCAGCTACTAAATATCGTCTCATTATGTGCAACTAAGTGACATTAATAGCTCCTAGATAATACTGTGTGATTTAACTTGCGGTTGTACATTTTTTAAATAATTTTAATAACATATACCTGATCAACTCTTAATAAAGACGTAATACTCCTTCATCTAATCCACTTAAGTTATATTTTTTCTTTATTACCAAAATAAACAAGCAATGTACAAAATATAACATCAACCATAGAAAGGACGTTATAAAAATGTCACCAACCGTATTCTTACTATATAAATGACTGAGTTGATGGATGACCCTGTGGCCTATGTGACAACGTGTCTGTCTAGCATCAACGTTAGTGTTAGTCAGGCCAATGATCCTGGTTTTCAACTATCCATTACTGGTCACGGACAGTCGGAAATTCGAAACTGCTTTAACATTGTCGTGGAGGTCAGTTGACAGCATACGACCTCTGGGTCAATCTGGTAAGAGTAATCAAACTCTTGAAAATCCATTAAGAAAAAGCGAGGATACATTACAATAGATGACCACAGTCCTAAGTGTAATATTTAGAGGAAAACTACTATCACTCATAATCCTAACAACATAGTATGTAAAATCCTTTACAGGAAAAATATTGTTTGTGTTTATGTAAGTTGGTTTTACCCGCTGCAAAACTTTTAAAAACAGGCAATTTAGAAAACAATTGGCAGTTGTTTTTCTAATACATAATTCTATTCTTATTTAAAGATACCTAAATACCTACCTACAATAGGATAGATGACTAATTTTTATTTTAATATTAGTCTGGTAGATTATTTTAAAACATTACACACGTATTTTTTATTTTTTTACAGAAACGAATACTTTCGACTATATATTGATTTGTAATGTCGCATGACGTCACTTCTATGTACATTTTATACGTAGAAATGACGTTTTAGCCCCACTCCTAAACTCTGATTCGTTATATCTAAGAATTATTTTTTTATACATCAAAATAAAAAAATACGTCTCTAATATTTTTCATTATCTAACTGACAGACTAATTAGATTTTTAATTTTCATACCCTGTCATCATCCCTATTTTGCAGTAAGCTAATCGGATCAGTAAATCGATCGATTTACTATGAGCTACATATTTCCTCATGGGCAGAAAATAGGTATTTCGTGCCTTTTGCAAAAAGTGTGACGTGTGGGTAGACTCTGTTTCCAGCACCTGTTACTACTACATATGTACGTACATATACCTTCGCTACATACTGCGAACTTTTACCTTTCGGCCGTAACTTATTGAGTACTATCGTCTTGTTTCCCCATCTACGAATAGAAATATGATTTAGATGTTTTTGTAGGTGGGTCACGTTATATTTTAAATTTAAAGGAAATAATAAACAAAGGTTTTTTATTCGTCACACGCTTAAACCCTTGAATTAAATAACTAAACCATATTTAATAAGATAACTTTTAAGAACCTAATTAGCATTCTTTACGAAGCCAACTAAATATTCCATAGATAAAAATAAGTAAGATGCAACAATTTTACTAAATTGGCCATATAATTATATACCTAAACTAATAAAATGCCTAAATGACTAAATCAGCCACGGATTTCACCCCATACAACAAATTATTATTTTACGAACGCAATAAAAATTACTGAACAACCAACGTTGAAAAAAAGGTGGACAGTAATTTTTTTGTGAAAATAACCATAAAAAATTTGAATGGCACATAGTAATTCGAACCACTACGCGCTACGAACTACGACCTACGACCTACAACTTTACGAGATTAATAGAGACAAAAATCGCTACGCGCTACGCTCTACCGACTACGAACTAAACATTATGCGCTACGAGC